TGTCATTATTGTTTGGCAGGCCTGGGCTAGATTCTAACCCACCACCTTAGGTGTATGTGGCTGGTGCCTTAGCCACTTGAGCCACAGGCGCTGAGCCTGGGCATGAGTTTTTTTAAGAGGGAGTTTTGATCTGTCACCCAGGCTGGAGTGCAGTAGCACTATCATAGCTCACTGTAGCCTCAAACTCTTGGGTTCAAGCAATCTTCCTGCTTCAGCCTCTTGAGAAGCTGGGATTACAGGCATGTGCCACCATGCCTGGCTAATTTTTACTATTTTCTTGTAGAGATGGGGGTCTCATTGTGTTGCTCAGAATGGTTTTGAACTCCTGACCGCATGCAATCCTCTCACCTTGGCCTCTGAAAGTGTTGGGTTTATAGGCGTGAGCCATGGTGCCTCACCCTAGTATTTTTTTTTTTATATTTACAGCACATCTCAATTGTGACTTGTCGCTTTTTAAAACTACCCATATTTCAAGAGCTCAATAAAACAAATGTGCTAATAGTCACCGTATCACACAGCACAGGTCTTAGCCACTTGAGGGGCATATACTTTAGGAATTCATGCAAGGCTGAGGGATAACCCTTCCCCAAGACAGCTGTCACCTTTATGGGCTTTTGCCAGGACTTGTGGCTGTGGTCCCAGAACTGGCAGCTTTTGGGAAGTATGTGTCAATGTTAGGGGGAGGGAAAAAATGAGGGACTAGCCTGGCACTGCCACTGATTGTGCCAAAAGTCTGCAACCGCCAGCTCTGGCCCTTTGTCCCCAATCCCAGGGCTCCACCAAATCTCTCCCCATTTTCTCTTGGGAGGAGGGATAGGGAATGATACTCTGGCACAGCTGAGAAGAGCTGGCTTTCCCTGCCCTCACTTGCCTCCTTTCAGGTCTAGAGCCCCTTCCCCGGGAACAGGACCCACCTCCACGAAGGTCAGCAGATGCTGCAAGGTAGGCAAAATTATCCAGACTGATGACATCGATGATGGGGCTCACCACACGGGTGTGGTCCTAGGGGAGAGATGTGAGTGATGCCAGGACTCTTCAGCGGAAGAAGGCCCAGCTGCCCGCTCTGGGGAGAAGGTCTCTGTGATTCGGGGCACTCAGCAGGATGTGCCCAGGGCAGCCCTGGACCCCTGTCCTGTATCACCACACGCAAGCTCCCGGGAGTTCTCTCCTGGTTCCCACATGCTCTCCCTGCCCCTTCCTTGCCCATCATTTTGAGCCCCGCTAGGATCTCCCCTCCTCAAGTGAATGAAGCCTTCCGTGACTGCTGTGGGCTGAAGGCTTTCTTCCTCTGTTAAGCTGCTTCCACAGGCAATTCCCAGGACAGTGGCTCATGTGCTGCCTGAGGTGACTTTTCTCTTGCTGGTTTGAACTGTTGTTTGATTAAGGTCATTTACCTTTGTATATATTTGAGTTGAATCTTCCCAACTGGAGCACCAGCAGCTTGAGGGCAGGGACCCTGCCTCCCCGTGTAACCTGGGTGCCACTCCACAACATTCACCTTGAGAGGTCAGATTCACCAGTCTCCTCATCACCTCCCAGAACAAAAATCCAGCTCCAAAACATTCATGCATGATACTGATTTTACTAAAGTGTTCTTTTTGTGGGGGGTAGGAAGGGGGATAAAGTGAATTATGTCATATCCCACAAGTAAAAAAAATGTTTTTTTGAAACAGAGTCTCACTCGGTCACCCTCAGTAGAGTGCCGTGGCATCTTAGCTCACAGCAACCTCAAACTCTTGGGCTCAAGAGATTCTCTTGCCTCAGCCTTCCACGTAGCTGGGACTACAGGTGCCCACCACAATGCCTGGCTATTTTTAGAGATGAGGTCTCACTCTGGCTCAGGCCAGTCTTGAACCTGTGAGCTCAGGCAATCCACCTGCCTTGGCCTCCTAAGTGCTGGGATTATAGGCGTGAGCCACTGCGACCGGCCCCCCACATGTAAAACTTAATCACCATTCCTGAGTCTTCTCCTGTCTTGCCCTCCATGGAGGGACATGAACAGAGCCTCTTCTTTCTCTCTCCTCTTCTTCCACTCCCAAAGTTGTCTTGCCTGCAACATAGAATCCAGCTCGGTCTGAGGATACCACGCCTGACAGGGGGCTGACCAGAGGAGAGCATCAGTGGTTTTCAGTGTTCCATGAGGACCGCACATCTTCCTCTGTATAAGCTTGTTTGTACTGAGCTATGAGTCACAGACTGTAAAACCCACCCATTAAAAGTGAACAAGATAGGGGTTTTAAGGTGGTACAACCAGCATCCTTATCTAGTTTCAGAACATTCATCACCCCAATACGAAACTCCAGTCCACTTTCCATATCTATGGATTTGCTCACTCTGGACACTTCATATAAATGCAGCCATACAATGTGTGGCCTCTGGTGACTGCCTTCACGTCACATGAGGGTTTCACAGCTGACCAATGTCGTAGTGTGTATCAGGACTCCATTTATTTTTTATGACTGGATCATTCTATTGAATGGACATACATTGTCCATTCACCAGCTGACAGGCCGTTGGGTTGTTTCCACCTTTCGGTTATTCTGAAATTGTGCTGCTCTGAACACTCCTGTACAAGTTCTTGTGTGGATGTAGGTTTTTATTTCTCTTGGGTGCCCACCTAGAGGTTGCTGCTGGGTCACATGGTAACATATGTTCAGACTTCTGAGCAACTGCCAGACTGTTTTCCAAGTGGCTGCACTGTTCTACCTCCCGCCAGCAATACTTGAGGGCAGCTACTTCTCCAGAGCCTTGGCAGCACTTGCTACCGTCCATCCTCTTGCTTCCAGCCATCCCAGGAGGTGTGAAGTGGCATCTCCTGGTGGTTTCGAGCTGCATCTTGCTAATGACCGATGATGCTGAGCACCTTTTCATGGGCTTACTGGCCGTTTGTATATCTTCTTTGAGGAAATGTCTATTCAAATCCACTGCCCATTTTTAAATTGGGTTGTCTTTTTTTTTTCTTTGAGACAGAGTCTCACTCCATTGCCCAGGTAGAGGGCTGTGGCATCACTCACAGCAACCTCAAACTCCTGGGCTCAAGTTATCCTCCTGCCTCAGCCTCCCAAGTAGCTGAGACTATAAGCAGCATTACAATACCCAGCTAATTTTTTCTGTTTTTAGTAGAGACCAGGTCTTGCTCTTGCTCAGGTCTCGAGCTCCTGAGGTCAAGGGATTCTCCTGTCTCAGCCTCTCAGAGTGCTAGGATTACAGGCATGAGCCACTGTGACTGGGTGGGTTGTCTTTGTGGTTGAATTATTATCTCATCCTTTTCTGTCTTCTGCCCACATCTTCCACATTCTGGAGAACAGCAGGCCCACCTGTGCTAGGAGCCCTCCCACCCTCTCCTCTTTTTTTTTTTGAGACAGAGCCTCAAGCTGTCCCCCTGGGTAGAGTGCCATGGCATTACAGCTCACAGCAACCTCCAACTCCTGGGCTCAAGCGAGTCTCCTGCCTCAGCCTCCCAAGTAGCTGGGACCACAGGCGCCCGCCACAACGCCCGGCCATTTTCTTGGTTGCAGCCATCATTGTTGTTTGGCGGGCCCGGGATGGGGATTTGAACCCGCCACCTTAGGTGTATGTGGCTGGCGCCCCAGCCGTTTGAGCCACAGGCGCCGAGCCTTGAGACAGAGTCTTAAGCTGTCACCCTGGATAGAGTGCTATGGCATCACAGCTCACAGCAACCTCAAACTCTTGCTGAAGCGATTCTCTTGTCTCAGCCAAATAGTTGGGACTACAGGCGCCGGCCACAACACCCAGCTATTTTTTGGTTTAAGTTGTCATGGTTGTTTTAGCAGGCCCTGGCCAGGTTTGAACCCGCCAGCCTCATTGTATGTGGCCGGCGCCCTACCCACAGAGCTATAGGCGCCACCCCTCTCCTCTTTTTAACAACACCATTCTCTTCCCCTTCCACAAGGGCTCCCCAGCCCAACAAAAAGCTCCCCCATCACAGGACCCTGCCTCTCTCAGGAGAAAAACAGCACCCACTCATAGCAAAAGCATTACAGCTCACCAGACTCTCATTCTGTTTAATTCTCGCAATAATCCAGTGGGACAAATATTACAACTACCCTCATTTTCCAATGCGAAAGCTCAGTGAGGTAAAGTCACTCATGGGGAAGCAGAGCCTTCAGGTTTCCTACAATGCCTGCCCAACTTCAAAGACTGTTCCATACACCCTCATGCCAGGACAGGGCGGGCAGGGCCCGAGGACACCCAGCTCACCTCCTTCACCCGCTGCAGCATGGGCTGCAGCCACTCGGTGTTCACTTCACAGTGGCTGTCCAGAAAGGTGAGGATGGCAGCTGTGGCCACATCTGCCCCGCGAACTCGGGACCGGATCAGCCCTGCAGTAAGAGTAAACAGGGGTTGGTGCTGGGGCTGAGCCCATCTGCCTCTCAACAATCCCCTTGACATCCCAGGGCTCTCTGCCCCGTCAGGTTTCCTGAGTTATTTTGACTGGACTTAACTTTGTACTTCTGCTTGTTTCTTCTCTTACTCTCTTTCTTGCCATCCCTCCATCAGTCATCATTACCCAGAGTCATTACCTGAGTGTCCTCCATGTGCCAGACACTGTCTGGGCTCTGGGGACACATGGATGAACAGTCACAGTTTATTGAGTGGCGAGGGCAATAAAGTTGTTTGGTACTGGCAGAACCAGAACCCACCCCTGGGAACCTTGGGTGGTCCCCTCTAGCCACAACACAGCGTGTGACATGCAGAGAATCTCCTGGTCTAAGACAGCCTGAGTTTGCATGCCAGCCCCTTCACTCACCATAAACATGTTATTTAACCTCTCTGAGCCTCAAGATCTAGAGAGAGAATGAACCCTGTCAGGGTCAAACAAGACAACAGGGAGACCACAGGGTCCCTGGGAGACCCACAGATGTCAGATTCTGCTCTTCTGCCTCTGGTTTCTGACAGTGGCCAATGCTCACTGGCCGGCAAAGAATGGCCTTGCTTCGGGCAGCTCTGTGCTCAGAGTTAGGGGCCTGCCCACCCCTGCTGGAGCAGCCCTCTGTGCACTGTGGGCGGGAGGGGCCTTGCTCTCAGGGCTCTGAGGAAAAGCAGCTCCTTGGAGAGATTTCCTGGCCACACCTCTGCCTCACACTCTGCCCCCGTCTATCCAGTAACCATCCAGCCAGCCAAAGGCCCATCAGTCCTTCCATCCCGTAAGTATCTAGAAAGCATCTAACCATACATTTGTATTTATTGTCACCAAAATCTAAGGACAGCATGCCCCCAGCCCCCAGCCTGACAGTACCTACAACCCAGCATAGTGTTATTCAATCTTTTAAACTCACGGCACACTTGAACCTATAGTTAAACTCCCACAGCACACTTAAATTACCAGTATGTTCATCAAAAGGAAGAATATGCTTACTGTGCTTTGAACTGCTTTCAACAATAATTTAATTAATAATCTTTTTCATGGCTCACCTAAGATCCTCTCATCCACACCGGCGTGTCATAGCACACAGGTTGAAAATCACTGACCTTCATCTTTGGCTACTTCCATTCCAGCTTGAAGGTCTCCCTCACCAGTACCCTCTTGGCCCCTGGCTGACCGGCCTTTCTTAAATAAACCTACCATATCACTCTCTCTAAAACCATCACCTGTCTAAAACCGTGCTATCCACCTTATCAAGCCTAAAAGCTTTCTTCTGGCTTCCAGGGTCTTCTGTCTTCTTCCTTCACACTGCCCACTCCCCCTGCTGACCAGGCTGGAATCTCACAGGGAGGGCACATAGTAGGGGAGATAAGAGGCCGGACTTTGTGTTGGGCCCCCAGGATGTAATCCTGGCTCCTTTATTCATCCTCCTGGACAAATCGCTGCAAAATGGGAACAGCAGGCTGTTACAAGGCCCGAGTGTGAGAATGTGATAAAAGTGGATGTGGGGGGTCCGGAAGGAGCCCCCAGGAGCAGGGGCTTTAGTATTGAGCGTTCTCTTCCCTAAGGATGCTTTTGCTGGCAGAGTCCCTGAGCCAGATACACCCTCTCTTGCTCCCTTTTACCTGTTTCACGCCACCTCCATCCCCATCGAGGCCCAGTCCCCCACGGAAGCCCTTCCTGCTCCCCCCAGCTCTCCAGCTATAACCTGCCTGCTGTAGCAGCCCGTATAGCTTATGGCTAGGAGGAGTGAGAATTATAATACCTGTAATGGAACACCTTGGTGAAAAGGGCATGGAGAGAGATTTAGCTCTCCTAACAAGCATGAGTGAGCTCGTGTGATGAGAGCAGTGGTGAATTGGCAGTCTCTACACCTGTGGTGTTGAGATGCA